GAGTCCGTCTACAACATCCATGTGAAACTGCAAATGGCTTTATGTGAGGAATATTCCACGCGTCACATTCCAGGGAGGGAAATGGGCATCCTAGATAAACTTGTGCTGGTCAATTTTCCACTCAGGCAAAAGTTGTTAAACGAACTACTAAATAAACCATGAACTGCATGTTTTATGTCTTTATCATTTGCATTACTTATAATAGGTTTAGACTATCATATGTATCATTTGGGGGTTTTAGTAAAGTTGAGCTACAAACTCTTTATTTACTCACTTAAACGTCCTTCCCCTTTCCTCACATTTGTTAATTTTGGGCCCTGTGTTTGCAGCAGTCTTTATTGCATATTTTATTACAGGTAAAATGAGTAAAAGTATAATGGGATTGTTTGCCATCACAGTAAATCAAAGCTACAATATATGAAGCGTTGAGATGATTTAAAGTAGGGCTGTGTGATTTATTGAAATCGTCATAAAATCGCGATTTGAGCATGCGCGTTTTCTAAATCGCTTTACAGCGCGATTTTCCGCACCCCGATCTCCCCGCAGTATGCTATCCGATTCCGAACCAATCAGAATGAAGCGCGCCTAAATGGAGCACCAGAACAGAGCAGACCGGGCAGGCATACAAACGTAACGCCAGGTTCACACACTCCGTCTGTGGTGCGTATTTTGTCAGCGCCCATGTTAACGGATCAGAGTGTTCACACTGCATGCGATTGGGGTCCGGCAGTGCGCTCCAGGAGCGGTGCGTCTGCAGCAGTCATGCTGCGATCGTTTCCGCACAGAATCTATTACTGGTGTGCTCAATTAAAGTGACTGCGCATTATTTGCGGTAAAAATTAACATGATTGACACGGAAATTTAGTAATTACACCGTAAATATTAAAGTCTACTGTACTGTTTCACAGTCAACACATGGCTTTTTGGCTAGATTTAAAACAAGGAAAATTACACTTTTAGATAAACAACGCAATAACAGATGGCACTCGGGGTGGTAGTTAAACAAAGTTATATTTATTGAGTTTAAACGTGAATGTCTATGAAAGATTGTATTACTGTACTGTGATAAAAGAGAATCACAATGCTGAAAAAGCATTTTCAGAAACAACGTTTGGATTTGAAATCAAAATAATGGATAAATGTTGTGTTTGTGGTAAACAGCCGCGGATCAGGAGCGGACTGCAAACGCGTCCTGTGCGAAAGCAAAATGAGTCCGTGCTGCTTCTGCACAACATACACATACTGTATACGCACTGCAGACGGAGTACGTGTGAACTTGGCACAACAAATCTAGTTCAACATCTGAGGCAACGCCACAAAGAGCTCTGACCAATGCATGGCAAAAAAAATCCCTGGAGACATGTTACAGCTTCTTGATAAAGCTCTAATTGGTTTTCTTTTGGAAATAGGTTTCAAATTCACACTGAATGCATTTATGACTGTAAAGCATGTCTGTGTGTGTCAAAATCGCGATTAAAATCGAAATCACAAAATTGATCAAAGAAATCGCAATTTTTTTTTGTCCATATCGCACAGCCGTAATTTAAAGTCTATATCAATGAATCGATTATGAGTGAAGTGTTCCTAGTAAATATGATGTATTATGTTTAACTCTGTAAAGGCTGACATATAATAGTGTTTTTACTTTCTAATAGTTTTTTTTTAAATGGAGCTGTTTATTGAACCTTTACACACACAAAAATATATTTTTTAAGTGTTAGATTTGATGCATACGATAATGATCGCACAGCCGTAATTTAAAGTCTATATCAATGAATCGATTATGAGTGAAGTGTTCCTAGTAAATATGATGTATTATGTTTAACTCTGTAAAGGCTGACATATAATAGTGTTTTTACTTTCTAATAGTTTTTTTAAATGGAGCTGTTTATTGAACCTTTACACACACAAAAATATATTTTTTAAGTGTTAGATTTGATACATACGATAATATGGTTCCTGAATCTTATTAAGAGGCCCAAAACTGCAACAATATGCAATTTGGTGCAGTTGCTGATATTTATATGGACAAAAAGTAAGATTAAATTATGATAGTTATACAGTGTATAGCGAACTACTTAAATATCAGTTTTCATGCTATATCTCCCAATAATTTGTCTTAAGATAATATTTAAATGCTTAGTTTTATGATCAAAGCTCTGTAGTTTTTGTGGGAGGGCAAACCTATAATGCAGTGCAGTACAGTGATGATTGAGTGATGTACAAATAAACGTTCCTCAAAAGCCTGATGTAGCCTATAATTCGTAGGCTAAATAACAATAATATCTGTAGTTTTTGTGGGAGGGCAAACCTATAATGCAGTGCAGTACAGTGATGATTGAGTGATGTACAAAACGTTCCTCAAAAGCCTGATGTAGCCTATAATTCATAGGCTAAATAACAATAATAAAGTTTTTTCTAATGTGGATAATCAAGTAAACCTAAACTGCTTCAGTCCCGTAAATGTTCATCTTGGAAATATTACTAACAATATGAATTATTTTTCTTATTACGTTTACTTTATAAATGTCTGTAGAAGATTTCAAAGCAAAAATGTATACCATGACAGGAATACTTTTACGTAAAAGGCCTTTTATTATAATTCTATCAATCAGTTTTTGACAAAGCAACCAGCCATTATTAATTCCCCTATGTAGTAGTTTGTTGCACTTCAAGATTTGTAATAAAAACGGCTTAAATTCACTTTTGATATATGATACGTGTTGGAGAACAAAATGTGAGTCTTTTAAAATCTTCTGAAAATCTGAAACCGTTATGCTAAATGTAACCTTCCACTTTGATATATGAAAAATATTTTGTCAAGGTCATAAAGGCTCACTTTTTATTTATTTTAATCTGTAGTCTATTTGTAAAAGCAAAAGCTAGCAGTTTAAGAAGTTTGGGTCCAGTACATTTTTTTTTTTAAATCTCACATGTTCACCAAGGCTGCAAGTTATTTGAAAAAAATACAATGAAAATTTGTAATATTTTGGCAAATTATTACAATTGAATACCTTTTTTTCTATTATAATATATTTTGTGTTTTATGTCATTTATTCCTGTGGTGGCAAACTGAATTTTCAGCCGCCATTACTTCAGTTTTCAGTGTCACAGAAATCGTTCTAATATGCTGATTTGGTGCTGTTTTTAGGTGCACATTCAGTTAAATCTGTTAAACACTACTTAAACTACTAAATTATGCTAAATGTCACGAGGGCTTTAGTTAGACGTGTTGAATTTGTTTAGATGTATCAAAAAAAACATGGATCATGTGTAACCGTTTAATTTCCCATGGATTTACAGATAAACATGCCTAAATTTATAGCACAATTATGTTCCTTCTTATTTCAGCTCAAAATGAATCACATGATGTCAGGCTGCGAAAATGTCAAGTACCTACTTGAGCGAGACTTAGTTATTTAATCTCTCCCTTTGTTTTTCTTTGAGTTTGACCTGCCAGTTGTGTTCAGATAGAAGGTATTTGTGTTTTTATTGTCGTCTTGTTTCTGTGGGCACATGTTGAGATCTTGGAGTGTGTGTGTTATCTGTTATGGCGTAGCTTTGGGGATGTGCATTTTGCTGTGTGACTATGCTCAGGTGAGCTTAGTCGGGCTGGATTTTAACCTGCTGCCCCATCTGGCTGCAGGCCTGTTCCATGTGTGAACGTCCAAAATGTGTAGATCAACCCCACTTCCTGTCCTCCTCCGCACTGCATGGTGTCTGAAAGCCAACACCCCCTTCCTCTTTCACCCGATTGAAGGAAGCCTTGTCTTATTGGCCTGGACTGAATGATTGACTGGTTACGTAGCCAATGGCTGGAAGTGCCCAGTGGCTGCTGGGAATTCCATAGTAATGCACACACTAACCAATAGGATGGCTTGGAATGAAGAAGGGAAGTGGTGGCGGTTAGGGGGGTTGTGGGCGTTAGTATGTGTGACGTATAGGGGGCTGGTGTGTGTTTAAGCCTGTTGGCTTCCTTTTGCCCATGTTCAATGTTCGCCTGCACGCCTCCTCCAGAGCAGGAGTGGCAGAAGCGAAGAACTGCAGAGAATAAGGTGTAAAACTGTTTTCTTGAATTCTTTATTTGTCTGAGTATGAGATTCCAAATGCTTAGTTTGCTTTTGAGTTTAATTTTTGGTCAAAATCCAAATCAGCAAGAGCAGACTGTTTAAAGTATTTTATTTTCTAAACGTGTTATTGTGAATAATTAATCGGTCCGCATACAGGACTTCTCTAGTCACTTAGTCTGCTTTAAACCTGCTCCTGCAAGATCATGTTCATCTACGTTAGTTTTTGAGTGCAAAGCCAACACCTCAATCCAATCGACAATTAGTTTTTCGGTAAGCCGTTACACTCTGATGTGCATCACAGTAAATTTGCCCTTCGTCTCAAACACCTGGCTATTGCCCAAAAATTGGACAATACTGAAGAAAACACAGTTTTTGGAGGTCACACTTTGTTTCTATGCTATTTGTGACCTATGCTTTTAAACCATTGGGCCTCAATCATGAAATGTTCATAAAACAACTCTTGTATAAACTGTTGCATGGAATTGTGACAAATTATGCAAGAATAGAATTGATTATTTACAATTCATTAACGAGGCCAATGAAATATCGCTGCTTGCTTATCACAACTTTGAAGTGACCAAAAAATTTATATTATTGTATTTTACTCTCATCCGTTCCAAACCTGTATGGCTTTCTTCTGTGCAACACAAAAGCTAACATTTGTGAAAAAACCCACTGATTTTCATTTTATGAACAGAAAAAAAATGCTTCCACAAAAGAAAGTAAATTTGAAACAACATTACGTTGAGTAAATAATTTCTGGGTGAACTATCTCTAACACTTAACTATTCAACCTTTTTGACAGCATTATGGGTGTGTCTGGTTGTTTTCTTTTTTTAAATGTATTTTATTAAATTTTTTTTGTTATACCACCTTTACCACAATGTGTAGTCTCTAACAACATTAGTCTTAATCACAGTCTGAAAGTGTCTCTTCACCTACAGGTTTTGGACGGGTTGTTAGCGCAGTACGGCACAGTGGAGAGCTGTGAACAAGGTAGGATGTGCTCTTCAGCAGATTGTCACTTTAGTAATCCATATATTAAAAGATTAGTTAATCTCTCCCCCTCTGTCTTCCTCCTTTCTCTTCCATCTTCAGTCAACACTGACACGGAGACCGCTGTTGTTAACGTACGATATGCCGCTAAGGACCAAGCCAGAGAGTGAGTATCATCCGCCTCTGATTCGGCCGGCTCAGTCACCACCCCACCCCCTCCAGAGTGTCTCTGTCCCACATCTCCCAGTGAAATGGGAGACTGTCAGTTCCACATGCACTGCTATTTGGATTTATTCAGCAATTATAATAACTCATTCAGTGCCACCTACTGTTTGATTAGTAGAACTGCAGAGCGGTCACAGGGGTTGGTAAAGAAGCCTCTGTTAAATGAATGGAAAGACTTGGATGAAAGAATCTTAGTCAGTTGTTTGTGCACAATAGGGAGTTCAATAGGGAGTGTCAGTGAAAGATTTGATGGCTTTAAAGGGCTCCGGCATTCCATCATGTCTAAACCTCATGCTCTAAACCCCTCCTCCCCCCTCACCATCCATCAGATTCGCTTAAGTTTTACATGTGTCCTGTTTGAGAAGGAAGCAGTAAAGCAGAGATGATTTTCATGGCCTTTGTCTCAGTCAAAATTGGACAATATTAAAGAAAAATAGTTTTTTTTTTTAGAATTCATGCTTGGTTTCTGGAGACCTATGCTTTTAAATCTTTGCAATATTTTGGGTTTCATTCATGACACGTTCATAAAACAATTGAATAAACTGTTGCAATGAATTGACAGATTATGCAAGGATGGAATTGAGTATTTACTGAAATGCAAAAAATTTATTCATAAATGAGGCCCATTTTAATTATTTTCAGCAATTGTTTTTATTTTGATACAAATCAGCAAGAGTCAAACTGTTTAAAGGGATAGTTAAAGTTAGTTTAGATATTTATTAGTTGGTAAAATAGTTAAGATATTTATTGAAAAGAAATTTTCAATTTTGTTCAATTTTTTAAACTTAATCTCTTATCCTCACAAGACTGCATTTATTTGAACAAAATACAGTAAAAACATTAAAGTAATAAACATTCTAGAATGAACTGTTGTATTGAACTGTGAAAAACTTATGCAAGAATGGAATTATGAATTTTTACTGAAATGCAGAAGTGTATTCATAAATGAGGCCAATTTTGTTTATTTTCAGCAATTTATTTTGGTCCAAAGCTGCAAGAGGCAAACTCTTTAAAGGATTAAACCAAAGATTTGTGTCTTAATTACTCCTAAATTGTATTTAATTTTATTTTTCAACTAAGCATAATATCCCACACAAGAATAACAAGTAGGACGTTTAGGATGTATAAAAGTAGCTTTGTGTGTTCGTCCACCTAATATGGCTTTTGTCCTTTCACTGAAATGTAACTCAGAAGCATGATTAAAAACAAGTTCAATGAAAAGATCTGTTCATGTTAGTATTTGTTAATGTTTCTCATCCTTCTGTTGCTCTCTTTTTTTCCCCAGAGCATTGGATAAATTAAATGGCTTCCTTATGGAGAACTACGCACTAAAGGTTTCCTATATCCCAGATGAAACGGCTGCAGCAGATGCCCCTGCCGTGGGTGGCAGGAGAGGTTTCAACTCACGTGGACCGCCTCGCCAAGGCTCTCCCAATCTGGGCGCAAGACCTAAACTACAGTCAGACGTGCCTCTACGCATGTTGGTGCCCACCCAGTTTGTAGGAGCTATTATTGGCAAAGAAGGTGCTACCATCCGCAACATAACCAAGCAGACTCATTCAAAGTAAGAATATGCAGTGTACGTAGTTCTAAATAGTCCTGTTTCACTCTGTGCACATAAGCACAGCATATTTATTTTGGCATCCATATTAAGATGTTACAACATTTCACACTGAGCACATAAGGTTCTACACAAGCAAAGTATCAGCACTGAATCTGTTGTTGCATGTTGAAAATGCTCTATAACCCTGTTTATCAAGATCTTTTGCAATATAGGACTTAATGAAGCCACAAAATAATGTAACTGATAAGTGAAATAACTGTTTAACAAAAGAATGCTGGGTTTGTTGAAAGCTAATCATGCAGTGACCGGCAACCATGTTGAAGTCAGGTTTAAGTCTGTGTAGGTAGGTTGTCCTAATTATTCTTAAAGATAATTTCACTGATCAAGTTTGTATTAATTCTCAGTGATCCACTTCCGATGTTGAATGTTTTTACCCAGAAATCACTGGTTAATTTGTGAGATTTTAAAAATAACATCAATAATGTATTAATTTAAAAATAAAATTTTTTTTTTTTTTAAACTAACACAAACTTCCAACTTTTAAATTGCAGCTAAGAAAAAAAAGTCTGTTTTATCCATTTACTAATTTTTAATTATAAAATATGTATATATCAATTTACTTGCTATTAATTGGGACAAGTAAAAAATGTGATTGACGTTTTTAAAACAAGTTTGTTTAAAGAATTATGCGCACCTTTTAAATTGAAATGAAAATATTGGCCCTTTTGATTTATTTATTTGCTTGTGACATATATATATATATATATATATATTAGATGTTGTTTAAAATGTTTTGTTTCATCTCTTATGCTCACCAAGGCTGCGTTTATTTGAATAAAATACAGTAAAACTAGTAATATTGTGAAGCTATGGTTTTAAATATCTGTTTTATATTTTAAAATGCTGTTTATTCCTGTGATTACTGACCCCAAACTTTTGAACAGTAGTGTCAGTGTATATCGCATGTACTGTCTTTTAAACAATTTGCGTTAACTGAATGTTAAGGAATGGAAATGTCTTTTTGTGTCTTTTGGCATCTGGGAAAGAAACCTAGAGTTGATCAGACTGCTCTAACAAGTTGATTACATATTATGTGCACAGGATTGATATCCATCGTAAGGAGAATGCAGGGGCCGCGGAGAAGCCCATCACGGTTCACTCCACACCAGAGGGCTGCAGTTCTGCATGTCGAAACATCATGGAGATCATGCAGAAAGAGGCAATCGACACTAAGATGTGCGTTGATACACAGACACTGTGTCATACTGTTTCTGTTGATCGGTCTTTGTTAGTCATACTACACTGTTACAGAGTCATTTACAGTCCATGTTGCACGTTCAGTCACACTATACCCTTCTCTTCTCTCACATAAACAGCACTGAAGAAATCCCTCTGAAGATTCTAGCTCATAATAACTTCGTTGGCCGCCTGATTGGAAAAGAGGGACGCAACTTGAAGAAAATCGAACAAGATACTGACACAAAGATCACAATCTCACCGTAAGTAGTTGTATCATTGTTCTTCTTGCTTCATGAGGTCAGCAAACCTTTTTTTTTTTTCTTCATTGTATGCTGGATTCTTGGCATGCACTAGGTACATTCAGTTGAATATATACTTTCCAAGAGGTCATATTTATTCTGCAGAGGTCTTGATATAAATGCTCAAGATAACATTTTATATGTAGATGTGAGTGGCGCTTCGTGAACCACTGGATATGCAGTTTTCTTGTCCAGTTGATTCATACATGCTGCAGAGTTCAGTTGGGGTGTTTGGCTTCCCTCCAGCCTATTGCTAAATAAAATCGGCAGTATGAGTACTTAAGTGGTAGCTTGACATTCAAATTTGGAATTTATTTATTTTTTAAATATACTACTGAATAGGATGCATCTTCCTCACTTATCACTTGTGTGTGACTGGTTGCCCCTTTTGCTACATGTACCTAAGGTTGACAACCCACCCATGTCACACATACCAAAGCATGTAATTTGGTGTTTGTTTAGCTCCCACAGGTTTTATTGTGTTGTTTTAGTATTATTTGTGTACTACTATGGTATATATGAATACTTTGAATTAGCTTGTTTTTTTTTTGTTTTTTTTGAGTTAAGTGTTTATATACTTTTTTTTTATATATATATATCAGTATGAGTACTTAAGTGGTAGCTTGACATTCAAATTTGGAATTTATTTATTTTTTAAATATACTACTGAATAGGATGCATCTTCCTCACTTATCACTTGTGTGTGACTGGTTGCCCCTTTTGCTACATGTACCTAAGGTTGACAACCCACCCATGTCACACATACCAAAGCATGTAATTTGGTGTTTGTTTAGCTCCCACAGGTTTTATTGTGTTGTTTTAGTATTATTTGTGTACTACTATGGTATATATGAATACTTTGAATTAGCTTGTTTTTTTTTTGTTTTTTTTGAGTTAAGTGTTTATATACTTTTTTTATATATATATATATATATATATATATATATATATATATATATATATATATATTTTGAGTGAGCTTTGTTTATATTTTTGAGTTTTGATTTAGTATTTAGAAACTATCATACTATTTTGAATTGGCTTCTGTTTTTGTTTTAATTTTAGTCTTATACTATTATAGTGTTTATCAATTTTTCGAATTGGCTTTTATTTTTCTGTTTTCAGTCTAATTTTAATTCAGGTTCTAGTTTTGTTTTTTGTGTATTTGTCATTTTTGTTTTTACACCTTTCTGCTTTATTTTTAGTTTGAGTAATTGTAGTATTTCAGTTTTTTCCCCCCATCTAATATGTTTAACTATGTATTATTTTTTTTAAATCTTTTTCTACTAACAGCAATGAGTTTAATAGTTTGTTAATAACAACACTGGATTTATTTAGCATTTATTTGTACTAGTAACATAGCTACTGTTTTTTTCATTTTTTTATTTCTCCAATCCCAGTCTCCAGGATCTGACGTTGTATAACCCAGAGCGCACCATCACTGTAAAGGGCACATTAGAGGCTTGTGCAAAAGCAGAAGAAGAAATCATGAAGAAAATCCGTGAGTCCTACGAGAACGATGTAGCTGCTATGCATGTAAGCCTGCAATGACTTTCCATTTTTGTCTAAAATTGTATACAGCACAGCTTCATCATCTCAAGAAAAAAATCTCTGCCCTCTTATTCCCCTAGCTACAGTCTAACCTGATTCCAGGGCTCAATCTGAATGCGTTGGGTATTTTTCCCGGTGCAGCGAGTGGAGGGATGTCACCCTCTGTTCTATCAGGACCTCCAGCTGGGGCTCAATCATTTGGGGTAACACAATTGGATAAAATGTTTTGTGTGTGAGGTGTTTGTGTTTGCTGTACACTTATGAGAGTAGGGAGCGTATTAATATATGCAACGGCAAAATGTGAGCCGGGCACCTACAGTCTGTGTGTGTGGGAGTGTGAGTGTTAATGTGTGTGTTTCTCCCGTAGTGCAGTGCGTTTGGGGGTGAGGTGCCATTTTGGGCCTCTACACTCTCCTCCAGCTGCAGCACAGCCTTTTCTGTAAGTTTTTATTTATTACCCACCATGCACTGCATGGCTTGGCTGCTCGCTGCTGGATTGGATGAAGGGACAAACGTCTGTTCCCAGATTAGTCGCTGCCCAGGGGGTGTCGCTCAGCCTCCACAGCTAACAGAGATGCTGGAATGCTCCGGATCTGATGTTTAACACGTAACATGTATGGATGTAGACCTAAAGTGCTTTGTGTGTGTGTGTTGATGGATAGGAATGAACATTGTCAAGTTTGCAGTTAGATGGGACGGGCATGAAATAACATGGGAGTTAGACTAACCCATAAACTAGGATGAAATGCACAGGTGTGTGTCCTTTGTGTCTATATTGACTTATTAGTGATTTATTTTTCAAATTGTCCTAGAGACCTTTCTGAATTGTTCTCAAGTTGAATATTTACTTAATCTACATTTGTGGATTTATATCAAATAAATACAAAAGCCCCTAAAATAGTTGGTGGATTAAATTGTAAATGTAAAAAAATGTGTATATATTATTTGGAAATGATATAAGAGAAATTGTTTAAACTGGTCTTTTATGACCATTTACATCCACTGATTCTTAAAAATAAAAAGCCTTTCTAATTTGCATACAGCAGCATTTTGTTTTGTTTTTTATTATTTTAATTGGTTATTTTATTTTTAATTTGTTGTCAAATACCCACATCTGATGTTAAACCCATACTGAATTTGTATATTTCCAAAAAGTGGTAAATGGAAGGAATGTATCCATAAATTATATGAAGTGACTCTAGTTATAAAGCAAATATCTAATCATTGGTTTTGTTGAAAATAAAAATGACCAGACTCTATATAGAAGTTGTAGAATTGAACATACAAGACTTACTTATGCATGTTCATTGAAAGAAGAATTGCCTTTGATTTATTCAAGTCTTCATTGACTATAAAACTTTTTATTAGATTGGCCTGCTTTAAATGATACTAGGAGACGTTTAAAGTGCATTAATGGACATTTTAAAGTTTCTCCTGAGAAGCTATTAGAAGTATCAAATATAATTTGTATATAATAATTTATTGTTGAAAAATGTTCAAATTAATGTATACAATTCATTGAAAGTATTGTTAGGTATTTTATATTAAATATTATTTTTGTGTTGCATATGGTGAAAAATTAACTTATCTGTGACATGAAAAATTATTTATGATCAGTTAAAATCAGACTGAATTAGGAGCTTTATTTTAAAAATATAGCATAGGGGGAATTATAACTGGGTGAGCAGATTGTCTGTTTGTTGAATAGGCAGCGTGTTAATATATCATGTTCATTACATCAGGGTCATGTCCGAATGAGCCGTTTTTGCAGTTTACTTTGAATAAATGGTGCTTTTGGTGTGGGATGGATGAATTACGAACCTGGCAATATTTTCCAAGCAGAGTGAATTCAAAAGATTAAATCTTGATTCCTCATGTTGTGACCTCTGTTGAGTGAATAGTTGATTTGTTAACTTATTTGTTTTAGTAGTTAGTTGACTGAGTCCCAGGATGTCTTGTGGCATATTCTCTGGATGTGTCTCCATAAAAGCAGATTTATTTAGTGTTAAATGTGTGCTCATAACTCATGAGTGTACTTGTGTCAGCAGCCACAGGTGGAGTCGGAAACCGTGCACCTCTTCATTCCTGCTCTGGCAGTTGGTGCTATTATCGGCAAGCAGGGCCAGCACATTAAACAGCTCAGCCGCTTCGCTGGTGCATCAATCAAAGTGAGTGATGGCAAGAATAACCTTTTACCCTCATCCTAAAATGGTTTGTTAAACGTAATAGTTAAAATTTTTCTATTTTGCTATGCTGTAGCAGTATTAAAGTATAAGATCTGTCATTATGGATAGATTGCACCTGCTGATGAACTTGACACGAAGCAAAGAATGGTCATTATTACTGGACCACCAGAGGCACAGTTCAAGGTAAAAATGTTTTACACATGGTATGAATTGAGCCATTTTATCGATATACACTCATTTGATTGCATATTCATGCGTTGATTTCTGTGCTGCTTTTTTCAGGCTCAGGGACGTATCTTCGGGAAGTTAAAAGAGGAAAACTTCTTTGGTCCGAAGGAGGAGGTTAAATTAGAGGCTCACATAAAAGTGCCATCATTCGCCGCTGGCAGGGTCATTGGCAAAGGAGGCAAAACGGTAAGTGGCCACTTTACATTTCTAATACAAATTTTCAGTGCTCATGTTTGCTTTACAGATACATTTAACCCCCCCAACATTGCATGTTTGTAGCTGATCTGTGTTTCTCTTTAGGTGAATGAACTACAGAACTTGACCAGTGCAGAGGTGGTTGTCCCGCGGGACCAGACGCCTGATGAAAATGACCAAGTTGTAGTAAAAATCACAGGCCACTTCTATGCAAGCCAGGTGATTGAGCTACTAGACATACTAGAACTGCAGAATGGGGTTAAAAGGTGTCATTTTTCTGATGTTAAAACACTTTCTCTGATCCCAGCTTGATGGCAAAGACAACTAATCATAAGTAATCCGTAAGTTTGTAAGTGTTGTCATGCCAAACTTTTGATGTGGAGCTCACAATGAGTGTGACTTTTTATAATAATAATGAATTATAAATAAATTTAATGAAATGTGTTTTTTGAAATGTAAATGATAATTTAGATGTTTTAATTGATAGTTTATTGAAATCTATTTATATATTTATTTTGATGGTCATAGTAATGCAATTGAAATACATTTGTTGGAATGTATATAATAATATATTTAAATTATTTAATCATGTATTTAGTAGTTATAATTTTTTATTATTATTATTAGTACTTTAGTCACGTTTTCCCCCCCAGTGTAATGTTAAGTAATTTAGCCGCCCCTTCACTGAGCCTTACATACAACTTTGTCCAGTATTCAATCATCTGAAAATGTTTAACTTTGTCTCCATTTATTGCTGAAGTGATTTGGTATTGTTATTTTGCTGTTTGATTTGAGTATTTCAACCCCTTCGTTGTTTTCTTTCATGTGTCCCAGCTGGCCCAGAGGAAGATCCAGGAGATTATTTCTCAGGTGAGGCGGCAGCAGCAGCCCAAGGCCTCGGCCACAGGTCCAGCAGTCGCCCGGAGGAAATAGAGCCACTGCGTCTTCTCGGAGACTGAAAGGACACGGGGTGTGTCCATCTCAGGGGTCAGGGAATGTCCTTAAACCCCCCCCCCCACACTTTTACACACATTCCTTCTGAAAGTTTCAGTGAGATTGTGTACACAACCACACCACCACAGCCCCCCCTCCCTTTCAATCAAACCATAAGAAAATCTGCCACCCAGTCCTTGCCTTAATACGGTAACTGCACAGACCTTAATTGACAGACGTTAAACTTTGTTTTTGTTATGAGTTTACTGGGAAATGCAGCATTTGAGTGTAAAAGGCGTTTCAAGCCTGTTTTTTTGGGGGGGGGGGGGGTAAGGAATGGGTGACACAGGGTGGGGCTTAAGGACTTTGGCTTGAGATGGAAAGAGGATTGTTGATGGAAGTATGCTGTCCCGGGATCCATAGTGGCATTTTATAAATTCTGATGCATTTTATAGGTTAATAGATATATATAAAATTATGAAAGAAGGTGGAGCAACACTGCCACTTATGACTGAGGGAAGTGTTGATTGGTGTTGGCCAGGAAACCAAGTTAATATGCATTTTACTGATCTACCTCAGGCTAGAGTACCTCAGAAAAAAGAAAATGATATATGAAAAAATTCTGTTTTTTTTTTGTTTTTTTTTGCTTTGTGGTATTTTGTATACTTTATAAAGCTAATAGTTCTTGAACATTTTTTATTTTTTTAAGAAAATGTAAAATTTAGTCTGTAGTTAACGGAGGAATCTCGAACTCCGCCTTGCTCTGTTTGCCGCGTGCGCGATGAATAACTGTGTATATATACGTTTGCGTGGGTAATAGAGTGGAGTTTGAGCTTCTGTGTTAGCTACAGATAGGAGAAAGAAAAGAAAAGCGCCTCAGTGTCGCTGAGGAGCCACCACCCTCTGAACACCGTCAAGGTAATGAGAAATAACGCCAACCGTACATACCGCAGCAATGCCGTGCTAATATGCTAATAACTGTATCGGCGGTAGCAGACGTTTCACCCGCATTTCATTACACTTCAGTTAGGGTCGGATGCAAGCAATAGAGGTCAGGGATAAGCAAGGTCCTGCTGTAACCTCTTTGACACCCCCTCATCCTCAGTGCGACTAGTTGTCTATCAAATTAAAATAACGACCAGCCCGATTGAGGTTGTTTCTTCTTTTCCCGTGCTCGTCGTTTTTTCTCCCTTTCCTTTTTCAAATAATGCGCTCCGTTTGGTCTTCGGACGGGCGTTTTTTGGTTTTGTTTTTTTGCATCAAACTGGGCTTTACATGCCGAAGATTTTCAGTGTTTAACGTCAGTCAATGCATATCAGGGGTTCGGGGAGTTAAACTGTTCTGATGCTTTTGCGTTGATAGCTATAGGTTACAATAGTCGAGGGCGCGTCTCTAACGAGCAGTAACGTAGAGATGGACGCGCGAATGGTTTCATTTATAGCTTTCGTTTATCATTTCAAAGTGACAAAAGCAACAACAAAAAAAAATATATATATGAACTTTAGCAAAGAAAAAACGTTTAGTAAAGAAACCAATATTCCTTTTTGTTTTCATGCAGAATGTTAATATGATTTGATTGTGGTAAGAGTGCATCCATGCTTCCACACTAGTAAGACCATTGTCTACCTCAGCTGAGGAAAGGGTGGGTGGCGGGAATACTTCCATCTTACTTGAGACCTCCAGCGCGCGCAGCGATACCTCAAGTCCCTCGCGAACACTTCCGCACTGGGTACGCGCGTGGCGCCGAGCGCTGACCAGAGGGGCACAAGTGATCGTTTTGTTTTTCTTTCCACCCTTCTCTTACACCGTTTTTGATCTACCTCTTATTAGAAAAGTATTTAAATTAGAGGCATATTGCTGTGTGTTAGAATCTATGGGGTCATGTTCCATCTGCCCCTTTCCTCACAGAAAAAATAAATAAATAAATCATGTATGGCTAGACTTAAGAGGTGAGTAAGAAAATTATTTCGTTTTTTGCCAGCAATTTATTCTCCGCTAACTGATTTGAAACCTCACCTGCTTTTTTCTTTCTGCTTCTTGGTTTGGTGATGTGGCTTCCTTGTATTGGGCTTTATTTCTTGCATAAGTATTGTGTTTATTTGGGATCTGATTAATGATGGCTATAGAATTTTTTTTCAAGGGCCTGCTTCATTTCTTGCTTATGAAATATGAACAATGAAGTCTTTATTATGTTACTTTTTCATGTCTTATGGATGCTACAGTTTTTGTTTTGACTGGGATCTGTTCCCATTTCATGGCTGTGTTGTGTGGTGAGTCATGTTTCAGTGGGAATGTGATGTGGAAATCCGGGAGCTGGAATAGTTCCGGGGTAAAAAGTGGTCTGATTTCAGCATGATAAGCAACACCCCCTCCGACCGTGCTTGTGCGCCCTCACACACCTCCACTTGTCAAATGCCTCTGATACAGAGAAAATAATTAAAAGTCAAGTTGGCTCCTAGTTACCATTGTTTGTGATTCCTTGGGTGTTCTTTGTGTCCATATTTGTTGAATGCTTTTACAGGTGCTGTTTTTAAATGTATTTATTTGTGTGTGTGTATTTAAGGGTGTTGATTTGTCAACTGGAAGGTTGTTCCCTTCCTCCCATCCCCAAATATTAGTTTCATTTCAATGTCAGTTCAAATACCATACACTCTTAAAAAAATAAAGGTCTTTATTGGCACCTATGGTTTGAAGGACCATTGGAACTCTCCATTGCTCAAAATATTGTTTATAGTGGAGAAAAAAGGGTTCATTAGATTAAAAGGTAAAAAATTCTTCACACTAAGAAGAAATGGTTCTTTTTGTACTTTGAGTAACCAAACCTACTTTTTCTGTGGCATCACTGTGCACAAAAAATTGAGCCTTCATTTTTAATTGTACGAAGATTTAGAAAATGACAAAAGTTGTGTAGATCATTAGCAAGTGGTTTAGAAATTTTATTCGAATATATTTAGCACTTACAGAAGTGGATACATTATTTAAATCATAAGAGGTGATAAATATTTTAGAAAATTGCTGTCAAATGTTCATTTTAAATGCATGAGCATACCTGCATGTATATGTGATCAGTAACACATTTCCCACGTTGCTTAATTCATGTTTTATAAAAGGAACTTGTTAGTAAAGTGATTTCTTATGAAACAACAGCTTAATTACCATCAAACTCGTATTTTTCTTTTAAAAAATGCATCAAATTCAGTCCCCAGATATTTAAAATGTTTAACCATGTTCAAAACAACGTATAACTTCTCAGAACATTACAAAACATTAAATATACAACTCACTCGATTTTCTAATCCTGTCTGCAAATTAAGAAACATTCCATATGAACATGTCAAATGAAATGCCACGAAGCATCATTAGAAAAATGGGCAAAAGCAATAATTTTCAGCTTTAAATCCCAATTTCTATTTTAGTGGTTTTGGTTTGGGGAAAAAACTAATTATGACTTGCGCATGGGACACATTTGGTCAGTTCGTAGTTGTTTTAGTCATTTTAGATGATGGAAACCCCTGTAAATCTGGCATATCTGGGCTCATTCATCCCATATCTTCCATTAAAAATATTTAAAGCTTGCATGTGCTATAACTAAAATGCTATGATTACTTATTCTAGCTAAACTGATGAGAAGATACCAATGTTATCTAATCTTGCTAAGGGTAGGCACCTATGAGATCACTTCTGTTATTCTCTCAGATAAACTACAGCCAAACTCGTATCGAATAAATAGCAACTGACTGCTGCAACAACTCAGTTCAGTCTATAGTGTCCTCTCTCAATAAATGGGTTCTCTCCTCATCAGCAGAGAACAGAGCTGCTCTTAGTTTGCTTAAACTCCAGTTATCAGCATTTCTCTCAGCATCATCCAACAGAGAGCATCTCACCGGACGATACACCTTATATCGCCTGAAAGGAATAAAAAACACAAATAAATAATTAAGATAAAGTTGCGTACTGTTATGTTTTTAAAATATCAGTTTGGTTAGTGGTACTCACTTGTAAACCATGACGGCAATGAATGCAAAGATGGAAACAAGCACAGTGCTGGAAGACAGAACCACATCAGCTACATGGGAGGATATAGGAGAATCTAAGAGAAGGCAAGCGACAAAAATGGAAATATTCAGTAGTCAATAATAATGTTTATAATTATAGAAATTAAGTACATTTATTTATACAATTGTAATATTGGTGGGGACCAAAAATGGGGGGGATTGGCACTACTAACACTGTAGCAGTGTTACTAATTGTTTATTTTAAAATTGAAATAAAGCTGAAATAAAATATAAATATTGGATGATAACCTTAACAATGATTACAGTATTAAAAATGCTAAACTGAAATAAAAAATAAAGCTAAATAGAAATGTTTAAAAAAACAAACTAATACAAATGACAAAAGCACATAAAACTTAGTAAAATTACTAAAACATTAAAACACCTGTGGGACGTTTGGCGTTCTTTTCTTTTTTTTGTTGTCTTTTTTCTCTATAAAATCTTTTAGTAATCATCATAAATCATATATCATTTGAAAGCTTAGAAGCCCAAGATTCATCCTGTGAAAACCATTTCGAAATCAGACATTGTGTTACCATGGAAATGGTACTTTGAAAATCTTTTGGCGGTCTCCTCCCCCTTAGTGGGCAGTGTCAAGTGTCATATTACAAATTGCATTACGGTCTTTTAAAATCAAAACTTTTTATAATCTTGATAAATAACATATCATTGGAAAGGTCTGAGTCTTGTTATTCTCTGGTTATTTTGAGATAGAAGTAATATTGACAGAGAAATCTAGACATTTGTGACAGAAAAATACATTTTAAAAAATTCAATGGAGTTTGGATGGCACCCGGTGGCTGTTTGTGGTATAACGCCCTAAATAAAATCTTACAAGAACCTCGGTTTTTTTTCATATCACCTTCAAATTTGGAACATAACTTATTTAGACATAAGGCTATAATTTTATACCAATTTTAGAGTAAAACCTGATATGTAAAATATTTATTATATATAAAATACAATTAATATAGTGCATTTTCTTTACAGTCAATTTAAACTACTATAACTTTTTGATACTTAAATAATCTGCTGATTTTCTTCTTTAAAAAGAGACCAACCTTATGTCTGTATTCCAAAGTGTTAATAAATTACAACAATTTAAGTTTGGATAGTGCACCTGCAAAAAATGGGGGGTGACAGTTAAAGGGTTAAAAATAAAGCAAATTCTAAAACTAAAAGCCAATTCAAAACGTGAATAAATACTATAATAGTGAAAAATACTAAAATATAGCTAAAATAAAATAGAAGCATTAGATAGGCCTAAAAGAAAACTTTACTTAAACTTGAAAAAACGTATTTAAAATGACTAAAACCGAAATGAAAAAGCTAAATAGAAATGAAAAAAACCTATAAAGATTACAAACGCACTGAATGACTAAAACTTGAAGCAAATTATAAAAATCAAAGCTGATTTAAAACATAAATAAATACTATAATAGTATCTAAATAATACAAAAAAATAACACTGCTGTGTGACGCTTCTTCGAAACTATATATTAGTTAAATGTTATAAAAATACATTGAAAATAAATAAATATATAGACAAAATGAACTAATTCTCAAGACTGACTTGTGTCAGGGCTGTTGCCAATTGTAACTGAGGTAGTGGTGGCAAGAGCCAAGCCTCCAGGCAGACCCAATGTGATGTTAACACAGTAATTGCCCGGCGTTTGGAAAATGCGCGTCAAACTGATCTTGCATCCTTCGCCGTAAGGAGCCACGTCCTCACACACGATATTCTTGACCTCCCGACAGGCGGAGTTGGTCACTATGGTGCAGGCCACTGAGGGAACACTGAGAAAAAGAGAGATTGAATGTGTGTAACATGTTTGTGTGTGATCCAGAGGTCATCGGTGTTGTAAATGTGACTGAATGTTTTTGACGTTTATGACGGTGACATGCTGTGAAATGTCTCAGCTGCAGGGCTTCAATTGCTCACTGTGGATCAGATTCATCTACATCTAATAAATGCTCTTCAATTTCTGGCTTGTTATGTGAAGCATGTGATCTCCTGTCTTTGCGTGACAAATTTGCGTTTGTGAATCTTACCTGCCTGAGCAAGTCACCATGAAGTTTACAGATGTGTTGGTCACTTTGTCAGCCGACACCTTTAAAATCTGATTGGCTGACAGGTTCTGCAGAGCTGGAGGAGGTTCTGTAGAAACAGACATGAAACTGAATATTTAAAATTATATTTTATAATTCATTATCTTATGTTTTATAAATTAATTACTATTATTTAATAAAAAATTATATTGATAAAGCTTTTGTATATAATGGAGTACAATACAAAGCACAAAGTGTGTTTTGTGTAATTTATCATTGACACAGTTTGTTTTGGTATTATTTTGAATGTTTTTATTTTTATGTGTACTGTTTTCATTTTATTTTTAATAAAAATTCTGGTAATTTTTTTTTTTTCATTTTTATTATTATTATTATTTTTTTTTAAGTATGTTTATGTCGTTTTTATTGATTTAGTTTTATTTATTTTAGTACAACAAACTAAACGGAAAAGAGAAATGTTGCCTTGGCAACTAGCTGAAATCCCACCATGCGATTGAAAAATAAATAAATAAAGGTAATTGTGACTTTTTTTTAATCTCACAATTCAGACTTTTTCTCACAATTCTGAAAGAAGTCTGACTTTTTTCTTGCAATTCCGAGGTTACATCTCACAATTCTGAGTTCTACCTCAATTCTGACTTTTTTTTTCAGAATTGTGAGTTTACATCTTGCGGTTATGACCTACAATTGCGAGTTTGTATCTTGCAATCTTTTGTATCTTGCAATTCTGCTTTTATGTTTCCGCCATGGAAAAAAAACAGTAAAAAAAGGTAATTGCAACTTTCTCCCAATTCTGACTTTTTCTTGCAATTGCGTTTACATCTCACACTTCCAATTTTTCTTCTCAGAATTGTCAGTTAAAAGTCCAAATTATGAGATATAAAGCCCAAATTAAAGCTTCCATTAGTTTACAATAACCCTGATACATACCAAAATCATGATGTTATGAGATGTTCTCGAATGTGTTTGCCATAAATTGTTGCTTTTTGAAAATAAGTGGTCCAACAATCTTTTTTTTACCAATGATGATGATCTCGCCTTCAAAGGAGCCATACATATGGCGGAAACAGTCTGACTCCATGAAGTGTGTTTTTCTGATCATCGGCGGTGAGGTGGGCTGGTTATAGGTTGAACTGGCCTCAGGTACAGCAGTTGCTGTAATAGACGTCACCTCTGAATCAGTTTGGAGCGGTTCGGTCGTTGGGGCAGCAGTTGTAGAGACTCGAGGAGTGGTAGTTGGTGAAGGATTGGTGATGACAGGAGCTGGAGCAGGAATTAAAAAGAAAAGAAATGTCCTTTAAGTGTTCCGTTTGATATGTAATTTTATTCGACTTTTTTTTCTTGCTTCAAACACAACTCATCTCACCCTTGGTGGTCACCATTTTGCTAGTGAATGCATGAGTGCCAGGTGGTAGCGTAGGCAGTGCTGCAACAATGAAAGTGATTGAATTATTTAATAGAATGACTGTATATTGGCTGGCCTTTAACATGACAGCAGCTTTAAGTATAAGTTTGCTTTACGCTGTAAGATAAATGGACACATTTTGTCCTGATGGATAATAATGAATATGATATGTCTGGCTTGGATAATAGGATATCTGTTGTCTGCAAAGTGCCCGTGTTTATGAGATTACCTGTCGTATGAGCCTGGGTTGGTGGTGGGCAGGGCACACGGAATGATGCCTCCACGAGGAGCTTGACTGTAACATTTCCAAGCATGTTGTACGCATGGGTTGAAACATTGCTGTGGGTGACCAACTGGTTGCCATCCCGAAAGTCCCAAATGAAGTCCACTGCATCAGCTGTCTTCAGATAGTTACTTGGGTCGTGGATCTGGACGTTGAAAATCACATTTGACCCTCTGACAAAGACATTTTTGTCAGTTATGCTGGCTGCATGCTTCTGGGAAATGTTCACAGAGAGCGGTATCTTATCTGGATGAAGAAAAAGCATTTTTTTTTTAAATAAATAAGGAAGGGTTTTTTATGTACATGTATGTGCGTGCATATATATATATATATATATATATATATATATAT